ATCCTAACTACTGTAATATCAAGTTTCTTAAAATCCACCTATGCATTTCTTATGTGACTGATTTTACAAATTCAAATCATTCCTAGCGTCTAAAATTCCTAACATTCTTAACATTCCATACATTACATTCTCCAACGACCTGTCAAACAACAACTATTGATTATAAAAATAAGATTTCCAAGGCGGGTTGCGACCTTCATACTTACAACCATAGCCATTTTGGAGGTTATTTTTATTCTAAATTAATCGCCAAGCCTGACAATTTATAAAAAATATATAACCAGTTTCTTAAAAATGACTTTTTTATGGTTATGGTGGTGCTAACTTAAGCTTACTACTATTTCGTCCCTAGCCACAAAAATACCATCAAATTTACTGGCTCTCTATCACAACTCCATAGAATAATTAACCGGCCATTTTATTTGGAAAAAATCAAAATAATGCTTGGCTGTAAGTATCAAGATGTCAACTGTGATGTGCGAATGGCTCTTAAATGTCAAATTATTTAAACATTTCTGCTTTTGATATTTATTGCAAATAATTTGTAGTGTTTCTCAATTCAGGCTTTTCATAAATAAAGGTACAGCAAGACAAATAATATAATGTTTTTGTAGATACTTTTAATTATACGATTTTGGATTACATTAAGTGGTTGAAGTGCAATATCATAGTCCACATTATACCATATCGCAAAATACATTTAACCAGCGAATTGTAAATAATAATTAGTAAACTTCTAGTCATAAATTTCAATTCATAAAATTTAAAAATGAATCTTTCTAACTTTAGTTGTTAATGACGTAATTAGAGGTGGGCAAATATCGATAGCAGTATCGATAGTATCGATAGTTTTATGTTCAAATTTACTATCGATAGTAACTTGTAACTATCGTCACGCTATCGTAGGTCGCGCTATGATGGAAAAAGAAACAAAATGTTACCTATAACCCAATACAATTTATATTTCGATGGCTGATTTCGATGTCTTTATTTTTCTATGCTTGGAGATTCATTAAAAAATATAAAAGTGTAAAACGACAACAATCGATATGAGATTGGTAATATTTGAATATAGGAAAACTGGTTATATATACAGGGTGTTAAAAAAGACTGAACAATATTTAGAGGTAACAGTATGGGCCAAAATAAACAAAAGTCTTAATAAATATGAGTCAGCAAAGTAACGGTTTTGGATATGTGGAAGATTATTCTTCTTTTACTTTCTTTTTATTTCGTAAAAACTTGCATTTTCTTATTATAGTTGGCTGATGTTTTGTAAAATTGCCTCGAGAAGCTTCAGCAACGAATTAATAAAAAATGACAACAAATTCGAGCTAATAATAGTTTGAATATCTTCCAGAAAAAAAAGTCATGCATGCATGAAAATGGAAGTAGGGCACTTAATTAATTAATTAGATGTTCGAAAAAAGAATAACCTACTATATCTCTGAAACTGTTACTTTGAAGGCCTATGTTTATTAAAACTTTGTTGTTTATTTTGGTCCATACCGTTACCTCTTTAAATATTTAACACCCCGTATATTAAAGTTAAAATACCTTGGATTGAAAAGTGCAATTTTTAGTTGTTTCCATTTATTTTTTATATTTTTATATATCCTGTAAAAGTACAAGCCCCTATTTTTTAATTAATAAACTTTATAAATTTGACTATTTATCTCCTTAGACCAAATATCTCAATATTTGGTCTAGTAAAATAGTCGTCCCAAATATACACGACCTTGATTAATATTCTGCTATTTTTGTTGTTGCTAAATTTCTCGAACATTTTATAATTTGATTCTACGTAATTTTGGCATTAACAATCAACTGATCAAAGCCCTCGAGCTAAAGCTCTGGGGCTCTAATCAGATTATTAATGCCAAAAATTATGTTAAATCAAATTGATATTAAAATATTCTCGAGATTTACATTCAACAAAAATAGATAATTATTACCAAGGGCTTGGTACCCTTGAATATTTAATTTTTTGTCATATTTATGGGTTAATTATATTATCGACAGCACTATCGATAGTATCGATAGTCCTTCAGGAAACTATCACCATCATCGATAGTTATAAGTATCGATATTTGGCTATCTCTAGACGTAATGTGATCAACCCATTTCAAATTTTGATCAATTATGATACCGAGGTATTTTGTTGTTTTTCATTTTAATTATAAAGTTATTTATTTGTATGTTGAAAGAAGGCCTTTGTAAATTATATTGCTATCTATGAATCTACTTTAACACAAAAATAGTTTTGTGGCTATAAGATGCTATAACCTATAGTCGCAAGACTATTTAATAATTTAAACATAGTAGGTAGTATTAACACAGCTTATACAATACAGCTCCACAACTCCGTGTCGGCGTCTTTGATCTGGCGGTCGAGAACCAAGCAAGACGGAATGGTGCTATCTCTGTTAGATTCGAGGGAAAAGTCGGGCCCGGATTAAACAATTTTTTTATTATTGAAAAAATTGAAAACCTTGGCGTAATAAGGTTGGTTACATGCCATATTAAGTAAGTTTTGGGAAATTAAATCTTTAATTTGTTTTAAATGTGTCAAATATAATTAGAAACATTATTTAAATATAAATATTACGAAAAATAGCACATCTTTCGGATTAGAGGTAAAATAATTTGTATGTGGCTAGTAAAATCCTCGTTAACAAATGTTTTGAGCTAAAACAGTCACTTCACGACAAATTGTGGCTTGGATCCTTTTTACACCAAGGGCTTCAATTGTTAAAGAATTGTGTCACGCTCGTGGATGCAAATCAAGTGGCAAGTGGCAAGTGTTACTCTTCGCGCAAAGGGTTTATACCTAGATAAACGAATGCTTCGACTGAGGTCTGGGAACTCTATGGTATTTTGGAATTATAAAGAATTTGTGCTTTTATTTTACCAATATTGGTTATATTTAGATGTTTTCTTATTAATTGAAATACAGATTTGTAGAAGTAATATTTTGACAGTTTTTATTAATATAATATATTCAATTTTTATCTGACCATACCGAAGTAGGGAATTTTGAAACTTTATAGTAATGTGAAATTTGAATTACAATATTACACGATATTACATAATTAGTACTTATTTTAGGTAGGTACTAAATTTGTACTTGGAGAAAGTAATATCGATTTTTACAAGAAAACTTGAAAAGTAAATTAATTTAGTTCCTATTTCTGATGTAAAACTTAAGTTTTGGTTTAAACCAAGAAAACAAATAAATTATAGTTTGTTCAACAAGGGTGGATATGATAGCAATATCACACAAAGACGAAGTTTGAGCACGACGTCGTATGCGGAGTACTCAATCGTCTGATTGTGATATGAACAATCCACTCGATATGGTCAGTATATTTTTTCTACGACCCACTAACGAAAATCTACAAATTTAAAAAATTATTTTAGGTTATTTAGACAAAATAACTAATTTTAAAATAATTTACGAAGTTGACTAATTTATAAAATAAAATTAACATGAAAAATTAATTAGTCCTCGGCCTAGATTCGATCCCGGGCTTTTCGCGTGGAAGGCAGATGCTCTGTCCTCATCTTCACCGAAACTTTCAGGACTTTAGTTTTAATACTCGTAATTAAATTAATTAATTAATTCTAAAAGTGTGGTACAAATGTTATTTTTTGTAGCCAATTCTTCAAAATTATTTTGAAATATCTTTTCAATATTGAATATTAGTTCTACAAATTCATCATTTGACAGTTGCAGATTTCCAAATGTATCTGGATTGGCGTTATCATATGCCTTTAAAAAGCAATAAAAAGAAAAATCATCTAATTCAACGTGATCTTTGTTATATTTAAGACAGGTATCGCAGAGGAGTGGATCCGCAAGGCTTTTATTAAAAGGTAACCACACACATACCTGATAAAATTTTTCTGTATCAATTCATCTTTACAATAATTTAGGGTGTTAATAATTTTATCATAAAATAAAATACAAGGTGTTCCATTTAAAAAACATACATTTTAATTTGCCAGGCAAAAACGTGACACCCTGTATATCCAAAGATATTTTTAAAATATGTAGGTAATTTTCAAATCCATATAACTTTTATTTAAAACTTTCTTGCGTGTCTACAACAAAATAATGAACAATAACGCACTAATGGGATACCCTGTATAAATTATATTTTTAACAATGAAAATTTCTTATAATGTAAAACTTATCGGTTTGGGTCCTTGGGAAAACTAAAGAATGTTTTCTTGTAGGTATAACCCTTATTAAAACAGCTTTTGACTGCACAAACAGAATGATGTCTTTTTTTTTCACTCATTCTACTCATAGCTAAAGAGTCACCAAAATAATAACAGTACCTTTAACTCAAACAAAATCAACGAAATTATAAGCTCCACGAAATTATGCAATCAACGAAATTATAGGCTCCACGAAATTATACAAATCAACGAAATTA